TATCTTAATTTCCTTTTGAAAGATAATATGACGATGTCGTGTTTTTCATAAGAAGAAAAAAAAAGAACGACATTCTATAAGTATGAATCAGAGATGGGATCGGTTCGTGTTTTTATCGAACCGAACCGAACCGAACCGAAAAAGTTTCGAACCGAACCGAACCGAACCGAACCGCTCTACTTTTTTAAAACTTCAAACCGAACCGAACCGAAAAAGTTTCGAACCGAACCGAACCGAACCGAATAATATTTAAATAGCTTGAAACTAATGTTTAGTAAAGGAAATTCCCACATATTCGTCATTGACATCAAATTATCTTTTATGTACACAATATATATCTGTATTTATCTATATTAAATGAAAAAAATAATCATTACAAGTATTAAAAAAAATGGAAACAACGCTACAGTTTATAGTTTATGAACACTTATATCACCAAATCTTTGTTTGAATTTGTTGTATGAATGATTGAAAACAATATCATTCACGGTATCTGGTAATAATTTTGAACGCTTTTGTGTAATTATATTACCAGTAAAACTGAACTCTCGTTCAACAGCTGCGCTGGTAGCTGGAACACCCAGTATACGAGCAGCAACCTTCGATAAAATAGGATAAGATTCATGTTTCTTTTTCCAAAATGATAATGGGTTATATTCTTGATTTTCTTGATCAGAATTAGCTATTGTTGTTTTATCGGAACCAAGTTTTAAATATAAATCGATTTCGATTATATGCGATGAAGTTTTTGATGAACTTTGTTGAGTACTGTGATGATCATCCTGTTCAATAATTAAATAAAAATCTGTCATGTACGTGTTCGAAGTAGTTGTTATCGGTTGAACTTGCAATGAGTCGAGAGGTAATTGAACTTGATGATCAATGTCCATCATTAGCATTTCTTGCTTCACATACTCAATACATTCTTCTCTTTGCTTAGCTGTTAAGTGTTTCATATGTCGTGTTTTAGGATTGAAAAACGTACCCATTAGATGTATAGGATCAAAACAAATCATTTCTTTCATTACTTGTTTAGCTCGTTGACGAAAAAACATGATACCTGTAATAAAAAAATCATTTAGAAAAAGTCGATGATGAGAGATGAAATCATTTACCTTTTTCTTGTTTAGCATCTGTTGGCTTGACATCTAACGAAGTATTTATTATAAATATACTAGGAGTAACAGTATGGATTGATGGAATTAATGATGATTGAATTCGTTTCATTACAAATGTCCAAGGTTTTAAAAATTCGATCAATTTATCTAATAAAGAGATATTAATAATATTAATTCTTTTCTTGTCCATTTGTTTTTCATCAAATATTTCTGTTAATGAAGCTGAAGACTTTCGAACGCTTTGTAAACAATTATATAAAGAGAGCCACCTGACAACCGTACTTTGTACAAGAACAGCAGCACCACGATCTTCGAGATCTTGATTTAGATTTGTCTGAAAAAAAAAAAAATTTTATTTAATCTTTCGATTTCTTTAATTATTCTAAGTAAAAAAAAATAGTGCTCTGATATTAGATTTACCTTCTTTATATACTTCACCAGTTCTTTGGTGTGGATAATTGTTACTAAAGCACGTTTTGCTTCAGATGGTAATTGAGCAAGAGTAGTTGTAGCATTGTTTCGACTTGGTGCTACAGTCGTCTGATTAACTGATCTTGTGAGTCTATCAATTAATCTAACATCATCGTCATCAAAAGGAACATTTTCTTCTTCACTGTCACCTGAACTAATCCGATCATCTTCATCATCAACTGGATTAATATAATAATCACCAAATGCTATATCTTTTTTTGCTTTACTTGTTTCAAGTTGGTAAAATGTTTTTTGAAGTGTATTATTTAACCGATGAGCAATACAATGTACTACATTATATTTCTCTAATGCTTTCTTCAAATTACTACCTCGATCACAGACCCAAATAATGTCAAACATAAATGGTTGCAAATCATACAGTGCTAATCCTTCCTCAATTACCTACAAAATAATGCAAAAATCATTTAAAATATACAATTATCAAATGAGAAACTTACTTGAAGTACATTTACTGCTGTTTTATTAGGTTTCCGATATGGTAAACAAAACAGCTCAAACGTGCATAAATTCCAATCTCGGTCGACCCATTGAGCAGTACACCCAAGGTACGACACTTTCTTATAACCGTCGGACCATAAATCAGGTGACAACGAAAGACGTCGTTCACGTGCTGCTGAGATTAGAATAACCTTCATTTGATTCCTGCCAACAATTGCCACTCGTTTGATTTCCTTCGTTACTGTTTTACGACAGGATAAAAATGATGAAGCAGGAAGTGGACCATACATATAACCTAGTAAATGAAAGGAGTAAAGGGCAATGATAATCAGATAAATTAAGATACATACCAACTTGGATACATTGATCCATGACTTTTTCTAAGCCTTCATCTTCGACGATGTTGATTGGGCGAGTGCCCGAGCACACCCATTCATTCATCAGACTAACAAATAAATGTTTTTGCTTTTCAATACCTTTATTATTAATTGATTTGGGCTGATCAGATGTAGATGCTGTTGATAATCGCAACTTTTGTTGAGTCTTATTTGCTGCCAGTGGGCATTTGTGCTGTGATAAAGTTGTTGTTGTTGAAGAATACGAATACGTTTGGTAACAAGTTTTACAAGATGCGAACTTTTTTATTACTTCAAATTTGTTAGGACCTAATATCTTAGCAGGCAATCCAAAATTTAACCAACATGCTGCGTTCGAATTTTTATTAACAATAGAATCTGTTTTTTAATCACGCCTTTTATATTAAGATGATTTCACCCTATAAACATCTGGGAAGAGCTCAACGACTTTTCTCCTATTTATGCTGCGTATCCATTCAGATTTTATATTTCTATGAATATAGATTATGAATCCTTGTTTATTCCTTAACGTGCGTCATAGTTTTTGAATAATGCTTTTGTATATTTAGTCTTTTTATATTTAAGACAAATAGTAATAGTGTCTGTTGTATATTTTTCAATAGTATCATATGCATCAGTATGTGATACATTTACTAATTGTACCGATGAAGATGATGTAATATTAGATGAACGGGATGAAGATGATGTAACATTAGATGAACGTGATGAAGATGATGGACTAGTAGATGAACTTGAAAAACATGGGAGAATATCAGGTGAACTTGAAGAAGAAGGAGAAGTATACATTTTTAAACCAGCATTTATTTATTGCAAAATTAGATATTCTATAAAGAAGATTATATTAAAAAGAAAATAATGGTTATTACTATACGAAGATCATAAAAGAATGAATACAATCAGATTACAAAAAACAAAGAAATCATACAGAAAACAAAAGTTTTTGTTTTCTCATTCTAAGTGCAGCTTGTGATTTGTTCGTGCGAACGACCTATAAGATAAATGTTAGAGTTATGTTGCTCCCAGCGACATTTAATTAAAATGTAGATATTTCTCTACAATATTTCGTTTAATAGATAATAAAAATTCTATTAAATGAAAAGGTCAAACCGAACCGAACCGAACCGAAAAAGTTTCGAACCGAACCGATCCCATCTCTGATGCTCTCATGCTTTGCAACAAATTTATTACCAAATAAAGATATGTCTTGAGAGTTTTATTTTACTATGTTGTACAGATTGAACCGAAACAAAACTCTTATAGCATATCTTTATCTGAAAATAAATTCAATACAAAGTATGAGAGCACAGAAACAAAGAGAATGGTGGGTGTCGGTGTCATTATACTACAATGCTTTACTCACACCCTCAACTCTCCTGATCAACTCCTACTTTTTAACGAAAAAATCCTGAATTCTAAAATGTGGATTTAACAATCTTGTTTAGAATAGATTTGCTCATGCATGGTTTTCATTTTTTTTCTTATACAGCAAGAAGAATGCGACCAAAACGAAAAATGAACTAATCTAATGAAAATACTAATGGACACAGAATTAATTTTGCAGAAAAAACAAAATAAAATCCCTGTCAAATGAATTTGTTCGTTGTGCACTTGTATGAATACTTTGTTTTTGAAAAATAAAACAAATAACGCTGGTATTATTGTGAAAGAAACTGTTTTTCTGTTCTGTCTCTCCCTCTCTCCTGTGTAGAGACTGGGTTTTTTTTTCATAATCAAAGTTCGCCGAAAATGTCAGTCTAATGATTTTTCTCTTTCATCTCACCAACGTTAAAACATGCCAGGCAAATAGTCATCTCCTCTTGACGGGTGTGGGTATTATTCGTCTATTAGCGAAACTCACACTCTTACCAACACCCACACCTATACCCACACTTTTGCAGGAAAAAAATTTAAACTACTATCAAATGAATCTGTTCGATATGTATCTGTATGAATACTTTGTTTTGAAAAATAAATCAAATAGTGGTGGTATTATTGTGAAAAAAGTGTTTTTCTGTTCTGTCTCTCTCTCTCTTACCTATATAGAGAGTGGGTTTTTTTTCCATGATCTAAATTCGCCGAAAATGTCAGTCTAATGATTTTTCTTTTTCATGTCACCAACATAAAAATGCGTCAATGAAATAATCATATCCTCTTGATGGGGTGTGGGTGTGGGTGTGGGTGTGAGTGTGAGTGTGGGTGAGCGTAATACTTTTCGCCTCACACACAACCACCCTCCCTTTCGCACCCACCCGCCCACACCCACACACACCCACCCTCAATGTTGCAAATTAGAACAGCATTCTTTATGATGTAGATCTCAATAGTTCATCGAAGAGACGAATATTTTGGTATCAATGCATTGTATTCTGGCTGTATCCTGCATCAGAAACTTCAAAAAAAAATCCATTAATGTGTAATCCTTTATTAAAAACTTTCACGAAATAATAAAAGATCTCAATATAGAGATAGTGGATTTACGCAGAAATAGTTCTCAAAATGAACGCCAATTATCAGCACATTCACATAAATAATCACGATGAAGAGGACTAGGCAAAGGAGGATAAGTATGATAAGCACGACCAACAGCACCACTAACAACAGCACCAGGACTACCAGGAGTAATCCAACAGTGAGCATCAACCAGCTTTACATAAATCGTGGTACGGCGATCACTAAGACGCATGTACCAGTCTCGACAGCCCCCACATTTCGCACAAGGACGTCCTCCACAACGAAGTTTCGTATCACCATCACGACATGTTGTATTGGTGGATGTGGCCATAATTGTAAATATGTCTGTTTTATTTAAATCTAAAAAAAATTTCAGAGATGTGTCTGAATTCGGTGGAGTCTGAACTCTTCAGGATTTCTTAATTCTGACACTAGTAAAAATAAGAGTCATTAGAGGGATGCCAACTGAACCCACGAAACTCACGGATTCCGACGAATCCAAGGAACTCAAAAAACTCGGGAAACCCTCCCAGTCTAAAAATTGTACGGAGACTGGATCCCTGTACTGTTTCAATATGCTGGTTTCCGAGACGCGTAGAGAGCTTGCAACGGGAGATTCCTGTGTATTGTTTTCGCGGAACTCACTGATGAGTGCATACATTTGAGGGTGAGGGAGTGAGGGTGACGGTGGGTAAGGGTGAAGGTGAGAGTATTTCCACTGTCACCCTCGCTCACATCCACCCACCCTCACCATCTTGAGGGTGTGTGTGTGTGTGGGTGTGGGAATGGGTGTGGGTAGTTGGATGTGACGTGGAGTTATCTATCTTCATCCTTACTCACCCACACCCACCCCTGCACACTCTTCCAAAATAGTACTAAAATGTTCGTCTCGTCGAGACCTAACGTTCTATGTGTGTTTCAGAACTGGAGATCGGAAAAAAGTCAGTGGGCCGATATCTGGTCTGATGCGCCTTCCTTCTTTATGGTGTTTTCAATGCATTTTTTCCAGTTTTTTTCTATTTTTCCTTACTAGACTACATTCTTTTATGGACTATTTTTGACTATTATGTTCGATTATTCACCTGCAAAGCTTTCTCGCCCAAAAACCAACATCAGTTCTCTCTCAGTCGTATTTTCTTCATTAACCGATATACATATGTAACTATACAGTTGTATACCATTAGTTGAATCGATCACATCAGGAACAAACTATCTAAATCATTTCTTCTGCATTACTATGAATGATGAAGAAAGGAAAAAATGGTTGATAAGAGAAGAACGGGTACTTATGTATTATTATCGAGACCAAACGAAATCCAACATGTCGTTATTTTTTTCCTCTACCATATGTGTCTCTCTCTTTTTTAAAATATATATTATCGTTATAGGTTATACCTTAGACAGCAAACAAATACTGCGATCGATTTATATGAGTCTAATTAAAGTGATATTTGCAGAAATTATTTGCTCCGTATACATTTCAAACTCACGAGCGACCCTATAAAAGATAACGGAGAAAATAATAATGTTGCAAGAAAGAAAAATATCTATCCACATATATCGTCGCTGTCATTTCGTTTCTTTCCTTTTCCATGTCATTTTGATCTGTTATTAATATTATTAATCATAGAATGTGTTTTAGATTGTCTCTTATCCGGGTGGGTGTGACTGGGTGGGAAAGGCAGAACTATAACGTCCCCATCCACCCTATTGCTCTCTTTTTTCGTTTGAAAACAGTTCGGCAGCGAACAGTTATTCTCGAAAAAACGCGTAGCAAATTCGCAGACAGCTGGGCTTATGTAATAATAGAAGTGGTCACGTAAGGTTCGCTAATATTTCTATGAATACGCATTTCTTTGTTCCAGGAGAGATGTTCAAAAGAAAACCTAATTTACCGTTGTTAGGGCTTTAGGATACTTTCTTCCACAATAGTTACCACGTATCCTAGTACAAAACGAGAACTCACTTGAATATGAAAGTGACCAAATCGTGCAGATGGTCGTGCTTGTTTCCCAAGTATTTCTTGATTTGTAACTTATTACTTGAAATGAATATGTATAACGAACGTGATAACAACGGTTCACTCCGATATGAACAAGGAATCTGAAATGAAAAACTGATATTTACAGTTTTATGTTAAGCACTTCATATTGACAACAGTATCGAACAATGATAGTAAAATAATGTAAAGGACGTCGAAACCTATCTTTGAAATCATGAATATTCACTATCAAAGCCGGAACTGTGTGAGTACGTGATAGCCTACAAAACTTTGCAAATTAACTTTCATCTGGCGAACAGTTCAACATAAAACCGCATAGACACCGCTTCAACTTTGTCGGTTTTGTGTGAACTGGTTCTCCTCGATAACACACATCCATATCTGAGCCTGCAACTCAGCGAAAACATTCGAAAACATGCTACGACTCATTCTCGCCATAAATTCCTATCTTTGACTTACATGGAGTAAATGGGGCTTGTTTTTTGTGAAATGTAGCCTGTGCTAGGGCTCAGCTCCATAAACAAATCACAAGAAAAACCTGGGTCCAATAGATGGAAAGAGTAATGAATGTTAAATAGTGGTTAGTATTCTATCGTCGTGAAGAGCAAATGAAATTCAGAGCTTCTATACTTATGCGGCAAATGTACAGTACTTGTGCGAGGGCTGCGTCGAGTTTGAAGAGCGCGCACAAATAAATACACTGGGAAAAAAACCCGATTGCAAAAAAGAAATGAAAGAGAATGAATTTCGAATTACTTTCGCTCTTGTTTGCGATGTATGTGAAATGGCAAGTAGGAATGCAACAATTCCAATTCTAGAATTGGTCGAAATTAGTTGGAATTGGAATTTAAATTGATCGAAATTGGTATGGAATTGGTCCAAAGCTAGCTTAATCCATTAAAACTACTATAGAATCCGTATAAATCAGCTCAAATCCGTTAGAGTCACTATGGATTTGATCGAATATTGGCCTGAATTTATTAAAACTACTATAGAAT